TTCTCTGATGTATTATTCAGCACAGTATACATCACCATTATTACCAACATATAACCAATGCGAGGGTGGGTATTCAGTGTCTCTCTTGTAGAATTTCATAGAGTTCTGATCGAAGAAATATTGGATGTCGATTTTGACATCATGGTGATTCAAGTGAGATTTCTTCTCCAGAAGGTGATTGAGAGAGGAGAGCGGATAGTCGTTCGTTGGCGCAGGATTAGTGCTACAAGGCGGAGCTAAAAGAACTGACCGCCGAGAGTCTCCAATTTTTCATGAATTTTCTTAGCAAGGTGGGATCCGACGGCCTCAGAAAAGCCAAAATTTCTCTCGCTTTGCTTTCGGTTTGGCGGTGCCGCCATTGACACTGGTATTAGTTGGTGCCGGTTTCCAGCTCCTCTCGTATTCTGCCAACGACTCAGGAAGTTAGAATTCAGAGGGAGTTGGGTTTTTGCTGTCAGAACTCCCGAATCGTTTGAGCTAAGCTACTGCGGCTTGTGGATTTGTTAGCACACTGCACCCAGTCCACATCACCGATGAGTATGATGGATGGTCATTCGAAGGAACTATGGGAAACCAATAGGAACATGATGATGTCAGATCGGGTTTAGAGCTGATTCGGGCTCAGAGCATGTGGCAATCCATATTTTCAAACCTTAGCGACTTTATCGACTTGTCTCAGTACTCTGCCTTGCCACACCAAAAGCGCTCTGACAAATAGCGCTCACTTTATTCAGATTCCTTTCCAACGGCGCCGGATACAGCATCGAGATCTTCTGGCTAACTTTCCATGTAGCCTGGCGCGTGGAAGATCCTAATCGGTAGTCATGAAGAAAGAGGCTCAGAAATAGGTTTCAAAGAAATTGGAATCCTAGCTAAAGAAAGCAACAAGCAAACGAGGTGGCTAGCCTGTCGGATAGGCGAGCTTGTGTGCTAGGTTGCAGGACATCTTGGAAAGCTTCAATACTTATCAAACTTTTACATTACCGCATTTCAAGTGTCTCAAAAATTATGGGCCGACTTAATAGTTATTTGATAGACCAGATGTGCTCTTCAATTTCAATTATGCTCGTTCGGTTTGTATTTGGCAAAAAGTAACTAATTCCGTTTAATGTGGTGGTGTGGAGGGGAGGTGACACTCCTTTTCTTGCCCCCCCACCCCTGTACATAGCAGGGGTAGTCAAATATATGTGGTTCCGGGCTGGCCCTGAACAAAGCTAGAATACGCAATTCAAGGGAAGTGGTTACGATAAGGAGGGCCGCATCGGGGAGTATATGCGCCACACGAAGCAGTTACTTGGCTGCCAAGGAAGCGAAGTGTGGCGCTTTCACGACGAAAGGTGCCCTGGTTGCTGAGCAGGACTTCCGAAGCACTCCGCCCCGAAAGCGTTACGCCCACTTCAACCGGTGACTTGGGCGAGCTGTTTGCTGTTGGCTTTTCATTTTGGAAGATCATTTCCCTTTTAGCGGCTGTATTCCAACTTGCCCATGTAATGCCTTATCAATCAAAACACTATGCTTGTTGGCATGATGGCGGCTATCGGGGTTAACACGTCCGAACAACTTCTTTCTTTACCGTCGCTCATCCATGGTCGAAAATGAAAGGGCAATCAAAGGGGTACTATTTTGCTTATTTTTGACGGATTTCTTTGCTTTTTTCGCCATTGGCGTACTATTGAGCACCCCACGTCCCCTCTGAAACCCACTCAAGAGCCCACCCCGTATGCTTGACGTTGCTCTGGGTTTGAAACCAAAGCCACATGTACGTGAAATTTGCAGCGGAGTACAACTGGAGATAGACATAATAGTTTTATCAAGCGCCTGTCGGAAATGCTTCAAAAATGGTACTGGATTTGGGTAATGGCGAAGAAATCTTAAAGGCAAAGGTTAGGGCTCAGGCACGCTAGAGAAGTAATTCCGTGCCTGGAGCTTGTATGTGGGTAGCTGCACACATTGCAGCAACCTCCCACCTTAAAGGAATCTTGCGCGGAAAAATCATGATTCTATTTCAGCCATAAATCACTGGCTTGAGACTCATTATCCACGATAATAGTGAAAAGAACTGAAGTATTGCTTTCGTTTTGATTAGAAATTCGAAAACTCGAAAAGGCTGCTACGCGTTCGAATTGCCCACGGACGTCTTTCACGAATGCTGGCGACGGGGATGCTCAAACTTGGTTCTTGGAGTGCATTCACTAGAAGCTCTTTCTGGCCTTCTGCTTCGTTGCATTCACATCTTACACTTCTACTCCATCCTATTCCATCGATCGATTTGTCTCCACTCTCCGAAATCGCGCGCTTTAACCCGATTCTCTCATTGCGTCGCCTGGTACGTAGCCGGCCAAACGCCGTCTTCTTTCCATGCCTCGCCTGGCTCTGCCTCCTGGTCCTTCGATGGTCCATAACGTGTAGTTTTTGTACGTTTGTTTCTCTTCAGAAACCGAATCTTCATGCGTGAAACTTTGTGTGCTATTTCCAGTGATCACAACTGACATATTCATGTTAGGAAAGAGTGCAAGAATTTTCCGCGCAAGATTCCTTTAAAGCCGCCCTGGACGTTCGTTCAATCCAGGCGCCTGTCCAATCCAGGGACCGCCCACCTCCGGAAGTGGTGCGTGGCTGGCATAACGTGTGAAATCAGCTAGGTTGATTGCCGTATCAACCGATAGAACGACTGACATCTCCAGAAAACTTGTTTGTACGTGCCTCTTTCCCAAGCCAGCCTCCTTCACTGCTAGTGGGAAAGAGGGTTTTGTTAACGGCCTTGTCGACGGTTTTCTCAGTTTTTCTCCACTGTCGTTCCACTTCGCATCTCTATACTCAGTTTCAATCGCCATAATACCCCCTTATTGAGCCCGACTTTTGCCTTTAAGCAAGATCACGATAAGGTTGGGCTGGGTTCACTGTGGTGGAAGTGCTGAATAATGCCCCATGGACGAAAAAAAGCAAAGAAATCCGTCAGAAGGCGCAAAATGGGACCCTTTTCTTTGCCCGTTGACCTGTGATAATGGACGAGCTAACCACCGATTGAGAGATCTTTAGCACATGTTGAACCGAGAGCCACATCATAACTGCAAAGGCCATGCTTCGATTGATAGCGCGTTCCTGGGGAAGGTATAGAATACGCACCTCACAGCGGAATACCTCATCAAAGCGATAATACACTGCGTTTCATAAATATAGGTCCACCCTAATTTTTTGCTATTCCAAAGTTGCTGTGCATTTTTGGAAAATGCCGCTATTACCAATAGTTTCCCCATAACGAAAAACCTTGATACTTGATTTCTGGAGAAATCTCGATTCAGAATTATTAAAATATCTTCCTTAGAACGTATTTTCACCGTTTCGCAAATATGACTACACATCACTTGTCGAGAGATTTTACTATAACGAAAAAACGTCACGAATTTTCAATAATGGGATGACCCCCCAATAATCATAAGGAACACAATAATACGTTTTGAAATGCTGGTAGCCAAATTAGCTATTACAGTAGGATCGAAATTCGTCTGGGCGCCGATGATCGACCTTTTCAGCTTTTCGGCTGTTCCATTTTGCTTTACTTTGCTGTGGAACTTTATAACAATTAAGGCCCAATGATTCTCTATTGGAATCTAATTCAGATAACATGGTGGCCACCAGATAACTGCCACATTTTTTCCTGCAATTCCATCTGGCGCGGAGGGACCGGCATGGACAGCCGCGTTATCGTGTGTGAAAATCAAGGATAGAGGGGATCCTTGTTGAAAAAATGGTAAGACTCGCTTCGAAGAACTTTTCACGATACCCTGTGGAATCTTTGTGAACGGAAACAAAAGCGAGCTCTAGCTACTCAGTCGTTCAAAGGTGCCTCAAACCATAAGGGATTCACCGCCGAAATTACGTTACATTGAAACCATCTGCGATTTTCACGCGATCATCCTGTACCCTCTTTTTCTGCCATATCCACCTAGAATAAACTTTTCCACGTCGATCTCAGACCACCTGTAGAACGAAACAAGGAGGTAGAGTCCAAGATCGCGAAGGGTCTTAACAGCCACACCATCGCTCATTAAGTTGAGCCCTTTTCCACGGAGAAATGGAGACTTGCGATCTTGTAGCGCTCAAATAATCTTGGAACGCTCTTCATCAATCCGTTGAAGATGTTATTGCTCTGCTGGCTTACTCACCACACGGTGGTTTTGCTCACGGAAGGCCGCATTTCAGTACGGACTTTGTTCGGACTCCTTGTATAATTCGAGAGAAGACACCCAATTCCTCCTAAATTTTGAAGGAAACGCAGTCTTTATTTACCTAAGCGACTCTTCTCTCCGCACTGACCAGGATTTTGCACATAGTCGCTTATGCAGTATGAGCCGGCCGACATGGGAGGAAATTCTGCTCCTCAGCTATCCCACTTCAGTAAGTGCTCTAGCTTGAGCTTGTTACTGGGAAGAGAGGCGAATAACACGAGGTATGGTAAACTCGATGTCGACTGAGCCCACATATTTCCCCGCTTCCCTGATTCCCTTCACGGATCGTGAGAAATGGAAACTTTTTATGAGTGGCCCGATATTCATGAAACGGTGAAAATTCGTTCTAAAAAAGTTAATTGGGTTACTTGAGGGGGGAATTTGTCAGAAAAACACTATGAAGGTTTTCCGTGATGAGGAATCTAACGGTGATAGCAGCATTTCCAAAAAATGCACAGCAACTTTGGGGTAGCAAAAATTTAGGGTGGACCTATAATTATGAAACGCAGTGTATAATGCTGCTAGGGTGGGGCACAGGCCGTGACGGAGCTCAGAAACTAGTGGCAAGCCCAGTACCCTGCTTCAAGAACACCTTTTAAGAAAAAACGCGACATTGCATTTCCTTCGGCCCTTGACTACTGCTTCTACTGGTGTATGTAGCTCCACGCTGCACACATACTTATCGTATCTCTTGCTAAACGTGCCAATTCGCACATTTTTTTAGCAAAGGACACATCAGCATGCGCGATTAGAGGTAATGTAGTGCGAACCTGTTATTCTTGTAGAAACCAATTCAGTCCCACTTGGGCAGTTGCACACAGCTTCAACTCTGTTTTCTTTTGGATGCTCTTTCAGCGTACAATTTGAGGCGTTCATGCAGCTGTAGGCTGCACACGGAGACCGAATATCGCACTGAAAATCAGAATCCTGTCTGGAAATAGAAGTGGCTTGTTGGAGATTGTCACAGATTCAAGCCATCCGGTAGTTCTGTTTTCAACCTTCTAGTGAGGGTGAAATTGGTGCGACCTTAGTGAAATATGTGTCATAGGAATGGAATATCCGCTCTAAGGGTCGCAGAATATGAAAATTAAAGGGACGGTAACTCGGAGCTGGCGATTCTCTTCAGCACCGCTTAATAAGGTGCTAAAGCAGGATGCAAAGAAAGCGAAGTGGACGATTTTCCGCCCTGTGTATGAATGAGGGAGGATGCCGCTACAGCCTTCTCTTCCACAAAACAGAAATGGGATTCAGTCGGTTATGGTCAACAGTTGGTCCAAACGATCATTACTGATTCACTCTTGGTGGATTTGTGAAAGGCAGAACACCCTAATTATCGTGACTGGCTATCCGATGTCTGATTGGGAACAACTTCTGTGTCGTGCAATAATGAACGAGCACTTTTGGGCTTCTGTTCATTTCCTATGTCTTTCTGCTAATGATGAGTTAACTCTTTCGTTTGAAACTAAGTTAAAGGCAAAGGTCGGGCTCAGGCACGCTAGAGAAGTAATTCCCGTGCCTGGAGGTTGTATGTGGGTAGCTGCACACATTGCAGCAACTTCCCACCTTGAAAAACCCCGTTAAGGCCCCGGGGCGTTCGGTTTCAATCCAGGGCCGCCTGGTCAATCCAGGACCGCCCACCTCCGGAAGTGGTGCGTGGCTGGCATAACGTGTGAAATCAGCTAGGTTGATTGCCGTATCAACCGATAGAACGACTGACATCTCGAAAACTTGTTTGTACGTGCCTCTTTCCCCAATTAAGAAAGAAAAACCATTATAAACAAAATAATAGATTCCCTTCGTCCTCTTTCCCCAAGCCAGCCTCCTTCACTGCTAGTGGGAAAGAGGGTTTTGTTAACGGCCTTGTCGACGGTTTTTCTCAGTTTTTTCTCCACTGTCGTTCCACTTCGCATCTCTATACTCAGTTTCAATCGCCATAATACCCCCTTATTGAGCCCGACTTTTGCCTTTAAGTTGCCAAGAGGTAAGAGAAGCTTCGTGCTCACACGTTCACCGATCCAATCCTGTGGATCGCATTTGCAGTCGCAACTCCCGTCTTCGTAATGACCTTGCCCATGACTACTGCAGTAATCCTCCTCACAGCTTCGCTCTTCCTCCGTGATATGGCAGAATTCGCCAATAAAACCGTCCGGGCAGATACATCTGAATGTACCATGAACAGTGACACTGTCTGAATTTGTTCTAAAACATGAAAAAGGAGGGTTATTTTGGAGAAACCCACTGGTATTGTATGGTAATCAAGAATTTGCTTGCAATGTCACTCGCTGACTGGTTATTCTTTTTCCTGTATTCGCGTAATTGTATTGGATCCACAAACGTTTGACTTGTCTCCATGCTAAAAAGCGTTTTTGTAGCAGGCAGTCACCAGTGGGTGTCAAGCTCTGTACAAGTGAGCTGATTTGTCTCGCCATTAATGCTCTAAGTAAGATCTAGTTATGTGGTGTTAAAATTTTGAACAGACAGAAGCAGGGTAAAGTATGACAATTTCTTATAGAGGATGTAGCACGTGAGTATTTGGCTTGTGACAAAACTCTTGCATACCCACTGACAACCACCGTTTTGCGGGTATTGACGCAACATTTTTTTTTTACATATTTTCCACTTGAATTTTTTTTCCATTTCCTTTGACCCTCAAAAAGTTGCATTATCGGTAGAAGGTATATTTTTCTGACCCAGCAATGTACATAGCTGATTGATTTGA